TAGAGTCCCGTGCAAAATTTGAGGGTTTTGCCCTGTTGAAGCTCAAAACGCGTATGGTTCTTCAATAAAATCTTGTAGATTTTTCAGCGGTTTTTGAGCGCGCGCTCATCGTGGGCTCAATTCGAACGTTCAAAAGTAGGCAGCCACCTTAATATTCAAAGAAATTCAGGTTTACTGCAATTCCCGAATTTCAAACGTTTAACTGCAAACTATCAGTATTGACTTATCCTATCTTGAAGAAACTCAAATCACAGCCATAGCGATAGCTAATTGCAATCAAGCGTTAAGTTTCGGAGCCGGAATCCTGTGACATTTTTGAGAAAATATATCCAGAGTGAAAAAATTCACAGCGACAAGAAGCATGAGATAAGGGCAACGATTTTTGCACATTTGCACGTGTTCACGTGAGTATTTACATCAGTCCTGGTGTAGAAACCAATAGAAACGATAGAAACCCTTTTGATTGACGTCCACCCAAATTCAATTTTTCGTTTGTGATGAAGGTCTAGTTGCGTGTGACTGGGAATCGCAGTAACGAAATTTTTACCATTTACATGCCAGTTAATAATTATATTTGAATAAAATAAATATGGTTTTGGGTGTACATTTCCCCCTGGGAAGAGCTATTTGTAATTAATTTATGCCCTTTACCCCTAGGGACTTTGAATGGTTTTTGTTTGTCACGAAAAACAATTCCCCGGGGGTGCACCGGGGGTCGACCCACGGGGAAGCAAATGATAAGTGCATTAGGTTTAGGGCTGGGGTTGGGGTTGGCATTGTAGTAGTTCTTTGGTGCCGAAGGTACCGAGTTCGATTCTTGGTGTCTTCACTTAATTTTTTTTCTAAGTGAGGAGAAGCAAAATTTCTAAGTCACACTCGCGTGTTCGGAAAGCTATGACGTACTTCGTTAATCCGTGCACGACGATAGTACCTACTTTCACGCTTGATCATTCGAATGAATGGTCGAGTTCCGAATATTCGTTCACCACAAGACATCGGGCCGGAAACATGGTTAAACCACAGCAAGTTCTCCCACCTACCTCAGGGGCGGCGGAAGCTGAAAAATTTTGGGGGGGCACTCCAATATTTCACGGTACCTTGAAATGACCCCCCCCCTCCCTGTTTAGCTTGATTACAAACGTGTATGTGTGATATTTCAATCAGTAACATTTTGCGCGCATTAAACAACTTGCAATTGTGCTGAGAGACACACAAAAATGATGCAAGTCGTCGCTAGATATATCGTATCTTTTTTAGATACAGAAAATTATGTAATATCAAAATAACAAATAATGGTAATCATAACCAAATCTCATGCGTTTTTTTTTTTTGTGTGAGGCATTATATTCTGGGGGGGCCAGGCCCCCCCAAAAAATCTAGTGGGGGGGCCAGTGCCCCCCCGCTTCCGCCGCCCCTGTACCTGCCTGAAAACAATGATTCAAAAGATCGAGTCGTGGTTTCTATTATTCTAGAAAACCCATAGAGCGACAGTAACCAGGAGATTAATACACACACTGTTGCATTTGCATATGGTAAAACCAGCTGTCTTTGTGGCGAATAAAATTAGTATATAAAAAAATCGAATTCTTCTTCTCAGCAATAAATTCTTCTATCTTCGCTAGGAATATTGTTTTGTAGAGCAAGTATTTTTGAATTTTGGAGAACTGCATCAGACTTTTTAAGATTATTATGATTTTTTTAGTTACATTTTCATTCAAAAAAATCAGTGTAAAATATATAGGATTTAAATAAGTGATTGATGTATGATCGCAAATCCTATGTAGTTTACAAGCAAAAATTGATTGTCAGTTTAGGAAGTAATAAAATACTTAATTGATATTGAGATTATTTCTAGGTGTGTAGAAAATGTCCCTACTGTACCTCCACAGAGGGCATTAAAATTGCTTGGGGGAGGGAGGGAGGGCCAGAGAAGCGTATATTCGAGATTTATTTTTGGTGACTAATTATCATCCATGCTTGTTTTTAACACATTTCTGGGCATTCTAAGGATAGGGAGGTCTAGCATTGAAAATAGACTTCCTCGGCTTGGGCGTAATGTTTTCCCATTTCAGACCATGTGTCATTATCTAGAGTATAATTTTTTTTGTTAAATGGATGTGCATGAAAAGACACATGAATATGGATACAACTCAAACAAGGAATCTTATTCTCAAGGGAGTGACAATTAGTGGCCTGAAATGATAAATTTTAAGCCCAAATTTTCAGGATCAATTCCAGTTATCAGTAAGTTACTCCCAGTGTGAACCCCTCCTGATTTTACTTTTTTCTCCACAGGATCTCAAACCTCTAGTCACAAGCCAGGGGGATATCATCTACCCACTTAATGTATCTCTTGACGTCCTACCAGCATTAAGTAGACGAATAAAGCTGTCTGTTAATGTATGGACTCCTGAGCTTAATGCCGAGGCCAAAGTCAATACTCAGTCATTGTGGAATGACTACTATGATATATTTGTTTATAATGATCCCGATGAGATATTAAATGAGGTTCAGAACACATTTCGATGTCATGGTAAGTAACGTCAATATCATGGTATTGAGTCTAACGTTCTCAGGTGCTTGGAAGTTTCTTTTTAAAAATAAAGGGGAGCTTAATCTGGATCGAGGGGCTGCTCACAGTCTAGTGGAATGGAGGGAGTACTAGCTCTTGAACAAATAGATGAGCAAAGGTGGTAGGTTAATCAGGCACTGAAGAAGAATTGGGGATCGATGTAGGGAATTTAGCCTCTYGCCCCACCCTCTCTCCCAAAAACAATTCTCGAAGTTGTGACAATAACTATTAAAATATATAGTAATAACACTTTATCCCATCCACCCTTTCCCCAATCAATTGTAGGACCTTCTGTAAAATTTCGTGATCTATATTTCCAGTGAATGCTACTCTACCAGTAATATCACCACCAACTGTGCACTGTAAATATAACTACATCAGTAACAAACAATATGTGGCTTTAGAAGGTAAGAGTAAATAGCCGTTTCTCATGCAGCAGCCATGTTACCTGGAATAATAGATTTTTTATCCCTGTAGCCTTACAATGGGCCTGTACTGTAACTCCCTATCATTCGTTTATGGGTTCCCTGTGGAGCCATATATTATGGGATGTTGAGACGACAACAGAGATTGTAAGATTTGAAAATAACTTTAGATTGTAGTTCAAATTCATCCCTAAGTTATCTCTGTTTATGACCACCTCGGTTTCGAAACAGTGGGGGCCTTTGCCCTGAATGACTCAGGAGCATGTACGTACCCTGGGGTTTTTATCCAAGTGGGAATAAGCATGACTGTTGTATGAGAAGTTCCAATAATTGCTAGAATTTATATGCATAATGAAATATATATTATTTCAAAGAAGCACTGAAATTTTCGTATACAGACCTTTCGGAAATATGAACATGTATGTGAATAATTAGTTTTACAATGCAAATACAAAAATTGAAGTAATACTGTAAATGTTTTTTTAACAGTAATAAACAGTCTAGGAGAACCAGTAATACTCCATCAAGCCAGTGTTCATCCAAGCTGCAGCACTCTCTACAACACTTCMAACAAATTACATAATCAAAGGTTTGTCTATATTTTTATTTTCATATTTTAGATTGTTTGACAGGCTACTGGCACTAGCAGGTCACATAACCCTACCCCCCCTGAAAATGTGCAGTTGTGTCAAAACAAACACCAGAAATGAAAAGAGCTTCTCAATATCATCTTGTAAGGAGAAAGAGTTTTGTTAACATATTTGCTTGCCATGTATACCCAATTGCAATACTTTTTCTCATACAAATCCTTAGAAAATATTCAATAGCACATTTGCATGATGACATCATTGACCTCTACTACCAGACTCCTTTGCACACTTTTTTCTTTTTCTTTTGTTCAGTTAATCAGCACCATTTGTATTACTATTCTCATGAGGGAATACAAATTTAAATAAGAAAGAAAATTCCCAAAGCATTATGGCAGTGGGAGTCAAATGATGCCATCTTACAAACATCTTATTTTATATTTAATGCAATTTCTCCTATTATAGCTTTCATTATGAGCTGAAACTCTGCAACCTTACTATTAATACTAAGGTGCTCTTTTAATTTGTGGTGTTCATGATTTTGACACAACTTCTTAATTTAAGGGAATATGGACAAATGTGCAAATGGTTTATTTATTTCCGCATTAGCTATAGACAATTCTTGAAGGCTAAACATTTGAGATAATGATTAACATTGTGTTTTCAGGAGCTGTGACATGTTCGTTATGCCAATAAATACGAAGCAAAATGAACTCCCTATTTCCTTATTACCATGGGAGCATATTTCATTTCTATACAGAATTATACGACCAGAAAACCAAACTTCAAAAGATAAAGTAAGATATATAATGAATGAAAAGTGAATGGAAGATTCATGAATAGA